AAAAACACATTCAAACAGCAAAACATCCCAAGTGCCCCTCAAGCGTTTTTGACTCCAAACGCCTGACGAGATTCCTTTATATTCAGTTTTTTGGTATCCAAAAGCAGGCGTTTGGGTGTGATTTTTACCTGGGCGATTTTACTACCAAAAAGAAGCCCATATGGAGCACACTAGTTAACACTTCGGTTGGTTTTGTAAAATATTGCACGGGCGGTTTTGCTTCTAATCACTTCATATGGAAGAAGCGCGTTCCAAGTAGGGCTCGGAATCAAACTCGAATAATTCGAGTGTTTGAATATTCGAATATTCAAAAAGCGAATAATTATGTGTAGTCATAACTCGAATATTCGAATATTCGAATACTCGAATAATCGAATACTCGAATACACCAACATTATGAAACTCACAAGGTGCAAATATCTTTATGTGCACTTTGTATACTTTTATAAAATAAATGATTCCTATTGTACAAGCATTTAAACAAATACCCATATATTTACAAGCAAATGAAAATAATCATATTTACTCTCCTGCAAATGAATATAAAATTACGTCTCTGTGTTCTGGTGTCATCAACTTTTGCGCTGTGTTACAATTAATGTGCCGACAAAGGCACTTTTTTATCCGTTGCGGCTAGTTGCCAAAAATGATATGAGAAAACGATTTTTCTTCTTGGAAAACGGTGAACGGAAAACGATCACTCGAATAGCTAACGAATAGTCGAATATTCGAATACTCGAGGATTCAAATACTCGAATATTCGAATACTCGATTATTCGTTAGATATTCGAGTATTCGAATAATTTTACTATTCGAATAAACCRCTAAACGAATATTCRAAYTTAAGATTTAAAAAAATTCCGAGCCCTAGTTCCAAGCAACCCAATCAAAAAATTCAAACCAAAAARGACCTTTATACAGATCTCCCCAGATTGATTAGAAATCCTACCTGATTCACTAGTTTTTCCTTTCACACTGATTCCAAGTCCAGCTTTTTCAGAGTCGTGCACGGGAATGTTCAAAGTTAACATCTCGCGATGTTTCCAGGGGAAAACCATGGCACTGTCGCTTTTCTCCAGAGGCTAAAAATATCAGAAACAATTACAAGATCCGCATTTACAACCTGAGGTGTTTTTTAGTATTCTAAGAAGTTCTAGTAATGAAACGAAGTTAGGGAGGAGAGTCAAATGCATACCAAGACGTCACAAAGGAGAAGGAAAACAGGGACAGACACTACTTGAAATACAAACGAAAATTACATTGCTCAGGGTGGCAGCCTCTTGAAATTGCGAGACAATTTTAGCCACAGATCCGATCGGTTTTTCGAGCGGCGACCTGCTATGGAGCAGATGGCTCTGAGGTAAAGGAGGTATATTAGGTGGAATATCCCGATTACTCTCGCTACTGAACAGTTCTGCGGTTATCGGGTCTTCTCTTTCATCGGTTTCTTCGATGCCCTGTGTGCGAGAGAACATTTATTTTTACAAGTACAACGGCAATATGTAAAGCGACTAGAAGAAATTAAATTGTGTGTGATTTTTTGGTTGGTGTGTCGGATTTTTCCACAATCCACTTACAAGAACTCGAGGCAATCCATTGCTAGTTGTTCCGGTTACGGGCACGTCCTCCTGTCTGGATACTATAATTTTCACTTTGCTGCCTGGCACTACCTTTCTCAGGATTGCCACAGCTTCCGACTGGCTTTTCCCAGTCATTTCTTCTTCATTGACTTGAAGCAATCGGTCCCCGATTTTCAGTCTGCCGTCTTCAACTGCTGCACCCTAAATAAACACGTTTTTTTTTAACTGAAAATCCATCAAATATTCATCAGATCTGCAAGCCTTCTGAGTCGAGTTCTGCACAAAACGGCTACGGAAAATGGAAAACCTACGGGGTTTTGAAACGCTTTAGAATCGCCCTCTACACTTACCTCAGGAATGATATTTTTTATGTAAATAGGACAGTTTCCGCCAGCAGGATTGTCCCGGGTAGTTATGCTGAAGCCCAAACCCCTTGGGCCTTTTACAAGCTCGATCTCGATTTTTTTGCCGATTTTCCTGGTGTTGGCCGTCAGGAGACCTTTCAGGTTCTTGGATATCGCCGGCACTTTTTTGGTAGGAGACACTGTTGCAATTTTTGTATTTGTACTCTCTGCAAATCCCGAATAACTTGATCATTATTATGAAGAGCGAAATATGCTTGTTCTGCAAAAAGTTGCAGAATTCAGAGCAACTTATTTGCAAGATTAATCCATTGATAAAAAATGAAAAAATCGCATATCAGGACAAATGTCACAAGGTAAGTTTACTAACGTTTTTGTTCACATTCCACCATACCGTTGTTTTCCTTATCTGCTCGAAAACTCGGGTAGATGGGAGTGGGAGGTTTGCGTAAGCTCTCCAATCCGGAAGCCTTAACTACTTTCAGTCTTAATTCTGGAGATATCAGCGACAATTTAAATATTTCCTGGACCCTGCACGATTAAAAAAAACAGCAATTAACCAAGTGGGACAAAGGAGGCGTTCGGATCTCACCGTTGAAAAGGAATGTTTATCAAATTCTGCCCGTTAATTTCTACAATTCTATCGTAAATAGCCAGTCTTCCATCCCTATCTATTCTACCGCCCGGTTCAATTCCTTGCACCAGCAGTCCTCTGTCTTTCCCGGAACCATCGTAGTCGGGCACCACGTGAATACCCAAAGGTCCAGGTTGATTCCGTATCACAATAAAATCCGTTTTATCTGTAGGCCATGGCGTCGGGCTACTATTGGCTTGTCCTAGTGGTTCTCTTCGTCTGGCTTCTCGAGGCAACGATTTGCTGGTTTGCGATTTGGAGCTCGCCAGTTTTTCGGCTGCTTCCGCCCAACGATACCTAAATAGGGTGTAAATTGTATGTCGAAATTAATCGAAGGAGCATTATTGAACTTACCCGGGCCCGTCGCCTAAGAACTGCATGGATAGCCGGTTGATTCCGTCCCGAGCAATTCTTTTGAATCCGGTGGTGTCTTCCTCTTTGCAATCGTCTAACCAATCGGGGCTCCCATACCTGAAACAAATGTACTATAAACATTTTCTGTAGGAAACTTTGTAGATGAATCTAAAGGTTTTAGATCGTGTTTGCAGCATGTAGTTACACTAAACGCATAAAAATAATCAAAAGGGTAAACAGGAGGTTCTGATCTAGAAGAACAGTCTTCAATTGAATTTTTTGCTGATGACACTGATCTAATGGGTAAAATGAAATGACAAAGATCTCACATGGATTGTAATTCAGAAAATCAACCGTTTCTGAAATAAGCACGTTTTTTTTGTTCGGATCCATTAGTCATGAAGTACCTACATACATTTTTGCCTAGAATGTTCGAGAATATTGAAAAAGAAGGCAAAATCTCAATTAAGAACCACCATTTTCCTACTGGATTCTTTAGCGCAATGAAATTAAAGATGCGTCTGTACCGAGTTTCCGATATCTGCAATATTCTTTAATAACCAGATATTACTAAATTTGAGAACGGTAATTTTTCCTTTCAAAATACCAGGAAAATTATCTTTTTTGGCTATTAATACATGGTCAGATGACTCTAATCTTACACAAAACGCACTCTTTAACAGACAGAGATTCAAATGACAACATAGTTTTCCAAGAAAAAATAATAATTCAATATTCATTGTGCAATAAAAATGTTAGTAAAAACACGAAATTTTCCATTAGTTTAAGCACATCTTGTGACTTGAAGATTTTAGGGCAGAATTTGCCACTTGCCGACTTTAGCTAAGCTTCTTAACATAAGGTGCTTTTCATCATCATAGTGATTTTCTACATATTTAGGTTCCGGATCAATAGATTTCGAACAAAAAGACTTTTCCTTGTCGTCTTCGTTCTCTGCACTTTGCTAGACAGAAAAGGTTAAAAATGTATCATATTTTTGACCTACCAATGGAACATCGAAATGTTCGCTGTAGTTATTGATTTTTTCAAAAAAAAAGTTCTACAACAGTTTTAGCAAACAAAGTGATAAAAGAGATACAAATGAAAAATACATTGTTCCAAAAGAATAAGGTTTCACGACAAGAATCAAGGTGAAAAAACGTAATGAGTAATATTAAGCTACAAAGAGGGCAAATATCTAGAAGAATGGACAGACAAAAACGTTCATTACTGGTAGGGATTGAAATGCGACCCTCCAAACAAAGCAATGCTGAAAATACTCCAAAAAAATAAATGTTTCGAAGGCACGAAGTGAGTTGGAAAAAGTTACTAAAAAGCAACACTTTTAAGCTGTAAGCAGAAAAACAACTGGACAACAAGACAAAAATGTCTATCACCTGAAGCCCAAGTTACAAACTGGCAAGTTATAAATTGCTCAAAAGTTTGTTACTTTTTATTGACCCGATAAATCACATTTTGACTCCTCTACCTTAAAGGGTTGTAACTAGTTAACAGTTAAAGTTAAAAACAGGTCGGACGAATTTTGAAAATCTCGAAAACCCTTTATATAAATCTATTGAAATTATAGGGAAAATGTCTCTTACCCTGAGCTGGGTGGCTCTAAAATAAGGGGCGCAGCGCTCCATCGCTTAGTGTTATCAGATGGAGCAGGAGGGCCTGCAGGAAGCTGATTAAGCGTCGGTTCACTGCCTCGTCTCACTTGCAGGCTGGGAACACCCGAAGCGATTTGCTCACCAGTTACTTCGATGTCCGTCCTGCTGTATACAGGCCCGTATTTATGCTCACCATCCTGAAAAACATAACTTAACAATTGGAAACTGTATGCTACTGTCTTCGAATCGCAATTTTTTATTTTTTAAAAGACGTTTCTTCTCTGTAGTGCTTCTAAAAGACTTAACAAAATATGGCTTGCTGAAAGGGATTAAAAACAATGAATATTTTCGTGTCTTTTGTTAATCCAGCCAAGTAGTTAAGCTGTGTTTATAGACTTTTCTATATTAGTAATAGTCGAGAAGTATGTATATCGAAGTTGGTGATGGTATTTTTGAAGCAAAACGTTATAGTTTTCAGAGACATCGCCTCAAAAGATCAAGTTCAAAACACAGTGCTAACATGGTTTTCAGCATTATTGAACGTAATTAACTTTTACGTAGATTTTTTACTTCGGACTATTGCAGCTTTTTGAACTATTGCGGATACTCTCCGTGTTAGTACAAATTATTATTATTATTTAATTGCAACCTTTGTTAGTAACAACGCAAGCCACTATTGACAAAAATTTCGTTACTGCTCAATAGCAGCAATTTTTGTGCAATCACAAAAATTAATTTAAAATGTTGTTTTCTATTGCCAACTTTGATTAAATCGTGAACTAATTTTAAAATATTTAAAGAACATATTTTCTGGATTAACGTTTATCGCGTTGTTCAGTGTTTCTGAATTTGTAAACAATACAACATAAGATCAGTTCAGCAAATGTACCCGAAGCATCATTTACAAACATCGGAAAAGTCCGCATTATATGTGTATAAAACTGCATAATTAAGTTGCCATAAAAAATTGCACACATTTCAAGCAAAAGTTTATTTAAAAGAGAAATAAAAATGCTCCTTATTGGCCTGGAACCCTACCAACTCGACGGTTATTTTAATATGCACTAAATATACAATTATTGTATTATTTTGTATTAACGCAATTTCACTTTGTTATATCGTTGTAATAATTTCGAAATAGTTAGGAAAAAAATTTAAGTTTGGAATAAAAGATAAAAACAAACATTTGACCAAATTTCAAGCTTTCTAGCCAACGTCTATTTAAAAACAAAATTTCCATTATCCTGAAACTGTCCCAACTCGAAGATTTCACTTTGTTCTATCTTTGTAACAATTTCGAAATACAAATATATTTTTATTATTGTTATTATTATCTACATCTTCCCCTGATACAACCTGTATATAAAACCAACGCAACCAAATCGGGATTTTAAAAGGATTTTTAATAAGATTATACAATAGAACTAAGTAAAATAAATTGGAATAAATTCGATTTTAAACAACAAAAAAAAATGCGTGTCAACTAGAAGTTGCGAGGTTTAATATCGATTTTAAACATGGATTTTTAACAACGAACTTAAGCATCCACAATTAAAAAATAATGAAAATAAGACTAAATGAATGAATAATGAAAAAATAGTTATGGCATTTATTCCAGAATTTAATAAAGTCGTAAATTTATTATCTTGAGATGAATTCTACATACTACATATTATTAGTGAAAATGCTTTTGATAATTGTCACATAATTAATTTACTGGGACCTTTATAAAAAAACCGACTAAAAATATTGGACAATTTGCCAAAAAATATGAAATTTTAGAGCAATTATTGCTCTATAATGTTACGTAAAAACGTAGAAAACGCTCAAATACATCAATTTTTCCTTCAAGGGCACAACTTTTGTCCTATGCTTTCAACACTCTAATTTCAAACTCTCTGTAGGGTTACCCTTATTTAAGGGTAACTTTAACTGAACTCTGTTCGAACGCGTTCGAGGGTTTTCTGCGTTCTTATAGAAAAACTTGAAAAAGCGAAAAGGAAACTTGTAATTGGCCCACGTTGTATGATTATTTATATTTAAATATTTAACTTCATAATTTCCTAATCCAACCTTTTCCAGATACCTATTTACCACAAAACGGCAAAATCGGTAGATCTGGAACCCAGAAAACAGTTCAAAATGAATGTTATTTACTAATTAGAATTTCTTTAACAATCCGAGTTTTCAACTAGAAAATTTATGAATTGATTACGGTGGGACGATTTGATAAAAAAATCCGTTTTTATATAAAAACCCTTTGTATTATCAATAAATAACAGCGAACGTGGGGAATAATCTTAACATCAACCCTAAAAAGACGGAAGTTTTTTTAGGGTGAGAGACTATGGAATTATCTGGTTGATCGTTTGAGAATACGGATTGGAACCGATATTTTTGGTTTTTTCTGACTGTAGCTTTGTTTCTAGTTCAAGGAAATATGGGTTGGCTGAAATGCGATAACATGTATAAATTATATGCATTGATTTTCTTTAAAAAAATATTAGATTGTAAGGAGCCTGCATATTTGGATAAAATAATAGAATTTAGCGCAGATGTTCATAGCTTGAACCTAAGGTGCCTTACAACTATTACGGTACCTAAATAGAGCTTCTCCGTTTCAAAGAAGTTTCTCGTATCGTGCTGTAAACATGAACTAAACTTCACCACCTGTGTTCCGTACGTATGTATCATTTATAATTATTATTATTAAATATTGCCATTGACTCTTGAAATTGTAGCAAAAACTCAGCAACTTACATGAAAAATATCTGGACTGCCAGTCCCTACTGAACTACCGCTTGCTCCATCTCCGCCCCCATGGTGAATATGAGAACCATCTCCATCCTCAAAACTAGCCAATATCTGTTCTCGGTCGTCAGCTACGTCGCTGAGTCGGTCATCTGGATCCAAAATGCCGCCGCCCTGCGATTGGAGATTGTGCACCGACACCCAAGCTTCTGGAGTCTGCAAAAAAATCGGAATTTAGTTGCAAGTACGGAATTTGCAAAGCGTGACAGAACTCGATAGTTCATTAAGCAAACTCGCTTGATAATTCAAATTGCTTTTTGCAAGACCCGATAATAGGAAACAGTCATTATTTTTATTAGCGGACTAAAAGTATTCATAAAAAATAAATTTCAAGACTTCCAGTGGTTTTCCAAGTTTCCGTTCCCTTCTTTCTTAAACAAGGGTTTAAAAGAATGAAAATTCTATTAAGTCATCTGAACACAGTTCGCCCGGTATATTACATTAAAAAGTGTACTTAATCATTGCGTGATTTACACTGACTTGATAACAATAATGCAAAGCCTGATTCGCCTGACCACGCTCATTTGCGCCAACTAATAAACGCATAAAAAATGTAATAAAATACAAAAAACTCAAACCGCTACCATTGAACAACTGTTCTTCGCGGATAGTCTAATTTTCGGATTTCATCAGATTAATTAGCAGGCGGAAAAGACGACAAGCGCATTCTCTTCAGTCTCATTCAAATCGTGTGAAATGTCCAGGTAATTGTACAGATTGCTATGGGATAAACTGCGTATTACACAACATGCAGTGAGAAAATTCCGCATGAAATGAAAATTCAAAGTAGAAATCTTATCCAAAAGAAGTAACAGCCAGTAAAAACAGCCTGACGAACCAGTTTTGAAACACTCAGCGTCAAATTGCGGTTAGTTGGAATTCCTTAGAAGACTTTTGCCACCCTCTGACCTGCCTTTCGTGTCAATTATGAGAAAGTATATGAAGAATTTCAATCGGTCGGAATGAGTTTAGGTGCGCCGACACGTTACTAGATACAGAGCGTTTTGCAGTTCGAGTACCACTCCTAGTACAATGCCCAACGATTTAATTGACCTACATACAGGGTCTTCCGGTAGTACATCGCACAATGTGAAAAAAAGTTCTTCTTCGAAAACCTAATATCTGAAGATTGGGCCAAGAGATTTGGATGAAATTTGGCGCCAGTATACTTGACCTAATGTGGAATAAAGGAAAAATTATAAGACCTAAAAATAATTTCCACACCCGGCAAATTCATGAGGAAATATGGCATTTTACACTGTTTGCTCATAGCAAGTCAATCATACTTTATAGCAAGTGAACTTTTTTTGCACAAACAATGTTGGTTATGTATTTTAATCTGCTGAACTCAAAGCTAAGCAAAAAAAGCGTCTTCATTATGATTTTTCCGAAAAAGTCGATTAAACTCTGAAAAACGTGATTTTTTGTGGTAAAATGACAATTATTTTATTTTGTTAAACTCCTCAGTATTCATATATAATTTTTATTCCCAATCAAGTATTTTTAAATAAGACTAATAAACATCAAATTGTTTTCCGATTCAATTGCGGAAAACCCGAGAAATTACGGATTTTATCAGTTTTCTGGTTTGAACATGGACGGTTTTAGGCTGCTGCAGTCTTTCAGATAAAAAGATCTAACTTCTTAAGTAAATCCAGTAAAAACGGAAAAGACTCTAAATCCGATACAAAACACTTGGCTCTAAACTCTCGCAAAATTGCATTAAAATCACGCTAAATCTTGATTTTTGCGACCTTCGTGAACTTTGGTCTCAACATGGGCGATTTTGCGCTACAGCAGTCTTTCAGATAAAAAAAATTCTAACTTCTTAATTAAATCAAGTGAAAACTCAGAATCTCTAAATTTTATAGAAAATACTTGAGTCGAAACTCTCGCAAAATTGCATTAAAATCACACTAAATCCTGATTTTTGCTACCTTCGTGAACTTTGGTCTGAACATGGACGGTTCTGCGCTACTGCAGTCTTTCAGCAAAAAAAATCTAATTTCTTAACTAAATCCAGTAAAAACGGAAAAACTCTAAATTTGATAGAAAACACTTGAGTCTAAATACTCTCAAAATTGCACTGATGTCACACTAAATCCTTATTTTTCCGACCATCGTGAACTTTGTTCTGAACATGGACGATTTTGCGCTACAGCAGTCTTTCAGATAAAAAAATTCTAACTTCTTAATTAAATCCAGTAAGAACTCAAAATCTCTCGCAAAATTGTATTAAAATCACACTAAATCCTGATGCGCTACTGCACTTTCAGATAAAAAAAATTCTAACTTCTTAACTAAATCCTAAATTGCTAAATCCTAAAAGCTAAATTGTATTAAAATCAGATTAAATCTTGATTTTTGCGACCTTTGTTAACTTTGGTCTGAACATGGATGGTTCTGCGCTACTGCAGTCTTTCAGGTAAAAAAATCTAACTTCTTAACTAAATCCAGTAAAAACGAAAACACTCTAAGTTCGATAGAAAACACTTGAGTCCAAACACTCTCAAAATTGCACTAATATCACACTAAATCCTGATTTTTACGACCTTCGTGAACTTTAATAATAAAAAGATCTAACTTCTTAACTAAATCCAGTAAAAACAAAAAAACTCTAAATTCGATTGAAAACACTTGATGTCTATACACTCTCAATATTGCACTAATATCACACTAAATCCTGATTTTTACGACCATCGTGAATTTTGTTCTGAACATGGACTATTTTGCGCTACAGCAGTCTTTCAGATAAAAAAAATTACCAGCTTCTTAATGAAATTCAGTAAGAACTCAAAATCTCTAAATTTCATAGAAAACACTTGAGTCTAAGCTCTAGCAAAATTGCATTAAAATCACGCTAAATCCTGATTTTTTGCGACCTTCAGGAACTTTGGTCTGAACATGGACGGTTTTGCGCTACTGCAGTCTTTCAGATAAAAAAAAATTCTGACTTCTTAACTGAATCCAATAAAAACTGAAAACCCTAAATTCAATAAAAAACACTCGAGTCTTGAACACATTCGAAATTGCATTAAAATCACACTAACTGCTGATTATTGCGAGCTTTGCGAATTTTGCTCAAAACATAGACGGTTTTACGCTACTGCAGTCTTTCAGATAAAAAATTCTAACTTCTTAATTAAATCCAGTAAAAACTGAAAAACTCTAAATTCAATAGAAAACACTCGCAAAATTGAATTAAAATCACACTAAATCCTGATTTTTGCGAGCTTTACGAATTACTATTACCTAGTACCATTCAAGCTATCAGAGGCTGGCGTACCATCGCCCCTGTATACCAGGCAAACAAACATAGTTATCTGTCGTTGAAAACAAAGAACTACTTTAGAAAAACTCATTAGCACATCCTTTGAAATTACCAGTGCCATCCACCTGCGTCTCAGCAGCAATTTCAGTTTGTTTTGTCTGATTAATTTAAGGTGGCACCCAACGGATATCCGGTGCTAAGGTGGAGCAATTTGTATGCAAACAGGCTTATCGAAACAGGTTCCATCCTATCCATACCCTATATTAGGTGCGTATAATACACGTTGCTTGATTACTAATAATAATTGCTTGGAAAACGCTAGATCTGGTATAGGAATTCGCCAGGTGAACCGATTAGAAATTTAATAAAGCAAACAATTATTAAACACATTTGGCATTAAAAGCCATTCACTGTTGCTTCGATGTATGTAGTAGGTACGTACTTTCAATGTAAATTGATTAAACTCGTTCCATTAGCTAATTGAAGCAAAACGTTCGGCTTCGTTTCGGTTTCTTCTTGCTACTCAAACCTAAATCAGTACAAAAAACGATTGAGTAAGTTAAAAAATGTCATGCAAAGTGGCGCTTTATTACCGTGTTTAGGAACCCGAAAATGTGTTTTCCATGGCAGGTCGTCTTCAAGGCCGCATCAAGCAGACCTTAACGTTTTTCACGCCATATTGCCTAAGACGCTTTTTGCAAACGTAATTTTTTACAAAAGTGTCACGGTTCGGAAATTCTTCATATGACTGGGTGGCGGTGTTAACCGACAAAGTCGAGTTCTTCAACACCAAAACGCCTTGGAGGTGACTTGGCCATTTCACTTTCGTCCGAATTATCCATAAATCCGCAGTTTGCTGAACAGTACCAATACGTCTTCTGCGTCTTCACTTGGCTTTAACGCAAGCACGATTTTTCAATGTAAATCAAACTCGCCAAGAGAAATAAATCAATCCTAAGTGAAAGGGAAAATTCGACTATTGACTGCCGAAGCAGCTTCAGGGTTTCAGCGGCTTCATTGATCACTTTCTTTTCAAGGACTCTGCAACATCTGACGAAGAATTGCTTAAATGCTTCCTAACAATCTACTTTCTTCATAGAAAAAACCTCATTATCGACGCGTTTTGCACGTTAATCCGCTTAATTGGGGGCTGATTAATAGACGCTCGTTGATTGCCGGCAATTGGAACTTTCTGATAGCGAATTTAATTGATTGCTAAGCAATTTTAAGGTCGTTTGCCAAATCACCATAATCAGGCGTTTCCGTTTGTTTATTGCAATTAAAACTGAGAAATTGAGAAAAAATAATTATATTAAGCTAGTCATTTTTTTTACTTCTGTTACAATTAACACAGACCACCGAAAAGAAATTAGGTCAGACCCACAAAATAATGTCGTACGTTACTGTGCTGTTGCTCAGGAACCTCCAAAATACTCCCGAAAATTGGCACGAAAATCCAGCATCGTTTTGCTCGAGTAAACTTTCCCGGCGAATTGTGGGGGTTGAGAAAGTTCCTAATTCGGAACATTTTTTCCGGAACATCGATGTTTCACTCTTGTTCGGACAAGACATACTAGATCTTGGATGCATCGCCTGAAATGCTCTAGAAGTCGGGATAATCCTTTTAAGGATTTAGATCGTCCGCCTCAATCGATACAATTTACATGACTTCCTATGTAATTTACTAAATACACGACTTGATCGGCGAAAACTGTTTTAAATTGCTGTTAAGCAATATTGCGTTTGGCCTTTGTCTCTAATGTTTGATTTTACTTTTGTGCCCGTGTCACTTCTATTTTATATTAACCACAAATAAAATTATTTTTTCTATTTATTATTTTTTTTTAATTAATGATGGCTTAAATATGGATGAAACGTTGACCCCACAAAAAATGATTTTTGTCGCTATCAACGCGATATACCAGTATGATCTTGGGATTAGACCAAAATCACTCACTGATTTTCGAAAAACTTTAAAAATCCCCTGGGGGTAAACAGCAGATTTTACATCCACAATTAAGAACTTGTGTAGCTCTAGTTTTAGGTAGTCTTCGTTGATTACGGCCCGAAGCTTTAAAGTATCACATTTTACAGAAGATGAGGTTGAAAGTTATTGGGGATGAGTCTGTTATAGTCTTTATAAAAGAAACTTCAGAGATTTGATCATGAAGGTTTTGGAACATGAATTGTCTTCTTCGTGCTAAACTCCTGCTTCTTCCAAAGAAACAAAAATCACTTCACATCTGAGCCTCGTCCATCTATCTATTTATCTAATTTTCATAACATGTGTGAGGAAATTCGGTCAGTTTTGACCCAGAAAGCAAATTTGAATAGAATGATAAATGAATTCTTGAAAGAATGATGATGAAAGACATTGAGGTACAAGATTATGCCAAAATTTCATGCTTTCCGTCCCGTTTTTGCTCATTTCTCGAATGMAAAATGAGCAAGAACGCTCATTTTTACATCATTCCAAAGAGATCTAAATGACCTTTTTAGAAAGTGAMCCATCGAYAARGAAATGTTGGCAGTTTTCTCAAAACCGTCTTGATTTCAAGAAGTTTTAGATTTGCGTGTTTTCTTTTGAGTTGCAAAATCGACTCAAAATGACGGKGCTTTTTTCGAAGTTTCTCAAGAACCATTTGAGCCACAAAATTCGTTTTGGCATCGTTGGATAGAGAATAGAAAAGTCGATTCAGTCGTAACAACGTGAGTGAGGAAATTCGAGTAGTTTTGAGCCCGAAAGCGATATTTGAATATCATACATTGAGCAGGGGCGGATCCAGCTTTCTAGTCAGGGAGGGGTCATGTAGTAGAAATTCAGTCTTYTGTTGTCTGTGAAATTAGAAAAATTATCGTTAGTCGACATAAACATTGGTATTCTGGAAAGAAACCCAAATTAAGCCACGAAGAAGRAAATACATATTCCGAATGCTTGGTGAAAACTCAGAAGTTTTTGCTCAAAACCACAGCAGACCSACCATCAATAYCCTTGGTTTCTSAAAGTTTTGCCAAAAATTTGGGACTGTCTCTCATTCCGATTTTTWAAAATCTTCCCCAGGTGACTATTTTCTCTCTCTCTTCTACCCCAGATCAACAAAACGGAATTTATTCYCACATCAAAATAAACCGAAGAAAGTGTYGGTAGWATCAAAAAGCTTTCGTAAAACTGCCTGTTAAATCAAAGAGATTTCTAAAATTTTAACAAATCAGCCAACTCACGAGATAACGCTGTAGATCCTCCTGATTTGAAACAAATTAAAATTGCCACGTTTTTCGGAGTATAAAAACTGCAAACTAATCAAATAATTCTTTACTTCAAAACATCGACCAAAATTGCATACAACTAACGACTTTAAGAGTTTCTCTTCAGCTTCTGGATAAAACACGAAATTAGAAGTATTTTCTGTTGGTGCAGACGATGCGCTCCCAGAACGCCGAAGACAATAATGGAGCCAAAATAATGGGCATTTTTGGAATTCCCATCAAGGCCATAAATTCCATCATGGTCCTCGTCTTTTAACCCAACTATTACCAGCACGAATCACCGATAAACATCAGGTTGCAGCATAGAATCCAATTAAATACACAGGAAATATAAAAAAGTGGGTTATGTAATTTGATGTTTGGATTTGACCCCGGATTTGGGATAACATGCCGAAAAAAAAAATACTAGCATAACAAGTGCACCCCACTGTCTAAACGCTGGATTCTTGAAAATCTACTTATTCAAGTTGAATTTTGACACATTTTCAGATAGAAAAAGACTGGTGCATTTTTTTAAATTGCCAGTCACCTTTTTTACACCTGCAAAATTGCAGATTTTACTTTGCGTTACCTCCACCCTCAAAACCCACTTAGCAGCAGCTTATTAATCCTGTAAGTTCTTCACAAATCTGAAAATACTTAAGCCAATTACTCAGCCTTATACATCGAATTCATCCTCAGATACAGTTTTAAAACGTCTGCCGTCGAACTGGAAAATCAAGGCAATTCTCACATTAATTAAAGCATCATTCAACTGATGATTACATTAAAAAAAAAACGTTTATAATAACTACATTTACATGAGGAACACAATGGCAAGAAAACTGGCTTTTGCTGGCAGCGAACTTGTACTTGTGTTTCTTCGGTTGTAAATCAGTTCACACGAATCACAAAACCATAAAGACATTCAGCCCAACAACTTTTACCACAGAACGGAATTAGTTAATAAATCCACTGGACATCAGGTTGTTCTGGTATGTACCAGTAACCCACTTGTTTTTCCCATAGAATCAGTGGCTTTCCAACGAATTAATTAGCGCAATTTGCTCTTGTTTGTCTACTGAAATGTAAATGTTTGATGTGGAGGTTCAAACGCAGAAGGGCAATGGAAATTCTCTTCTTTGTCATACGATAGCAAAGCAATTTTCGAATCTAACGGCAATAAAGTGTGTGTTCCACATTCAAGTAGCAGGTTTGCATTAGGAATTTGCATGGTTGCGGCCTTCAGAGGTGAACCGGCCCGGGAAAAGAATTTTCCTTTGCTGCAACACGACAATCTAATTACAATGCCTCGCATAAATAAGGACGAAGACAAGCAGAATTTATGTTGGACATAATTCGAATAGTCTCTGGATTTATCCAAAACAATTTTAAGAGCTTCTCAAGTGCGTCGCTTAATCTGGTCGGTTTAACGAACAGGCCGACCTGGTAATCTTAATGACTCGCTTAATTATTATGTTACGACACCAATTATTCACTTTTGTATCTCAAGTGCGATTGACGCATTATTTTAATTGTTCTCATGTGTAAACGGGATTGGATTCTTCTGCATCATTGAGGATTGTGAGATTATAGGGATTTTACCTTTTTCCCTTCCCTTTCCCACTGGGAATTATCCGACTTGGACTTAGTTCGTGTGATGGAAATCCTCGTGGTGGATCTTCCCGGGACGTTCCTCTGCAGCTTCTCCACATTGTAACTTTGCGTCCTCCACCCGAATAATTGAACTATTTTTTCGGCCACTTCCGTACACTTGGGCCCACTGGTGATTGTCTGACAACTATCGAACATTTCACCATTCGCTTTCACTCAAAACTTGCGAGTTTTCATCGTTTTGTTGCGAGATACACTGATTCCTAATCAAATCAAGTTTATGCCATTGTCGAGTTCGAATAATTTTCAAAAAAATGTATCTAAAATAAATGAATAAAAGCTATGCTAACATTTGCCACTTCTGCACAAACAAGTGGAATTCCTAATTCGGTTCGGCATTGGTGGAAACGTTCAGCAAATACCTTAAGTGTGTTAATTGACTTGTGCAGCAAAAAGAACACGACATGAAAGTAAACTGATTGTGATTGCTGTAAGGTTAAAGTCCGCATGGGAAACGATGTTAACTCAATCTTTGAAATGCTCTAAAAGTCTGCAAACTGCCAGCAAAAACACCTTTTCATGTACATCAATTGGTCAACGATTAGTAGCTGGAGGTAACATTAGGTTCTTGGCCTGCAACTGTCGATGCTTTAATTTCCATTCATTTACAGCAGCTTTTATATGCGAATGAATGCAAACATTACTGTACAGTTTAAAGCAGAAATTTATCGAGTCAACAGCGCCTTTATCCATCAGCAGGATGGTTAAATGGCGTTTGAATCAGTTATAACGTTCTTTAGATGTTGAACCTGTGAATAATTGAGTAAAAACACTGAACTTGCTTGCTGGGGGGTGAAAAATCTAAAATCTGTTGAACTTTTTCGCGAGTTGGTTCCACACGTTCAACACCAGAACCAGAATCTAGCCAAAGAAGTGTGGCTTACCATCACTAATATCGAGGTTCAATAAGAAACTTATTAATAAGACCTAACGGCAAATGCAGCCATAATATGAAATTATAGCACTTAGAAAAGCACTGACCATAAAGCCACCTGAGTTGCTGCAGCTCGCTTTTAGTAAAGTAGACCGAAAAAGCTTACAAATAGCTAATTTCATCTTCTTCCCTTTTCTTATTTCAAATTACTGAAGCTTATTCTTTATAAAAAATTCTGTTAGACCAGAAAATATTTTTTTGTCGAGAAACTGACATTGGGATTGAGATAATGAACGTGTAAAGGTTCTGGCTTTTCTTAATAGAACTTGATAACCTTTCTGTTCCTCTGTATGCTTTCTAGCAATTGCCCAATGCTTTCTGCAATTTAAATATGCAGTGAACGCCTAAGCATAAATTATTTTAAAAATATAAAATTACATACAAATAAGAAGTTGTGCAACTAACGCATTAATGTATGGAATTAATTTAATTCATAGTCATTGCACTAATGATACTTCATTGTCACTGTTTTAATGTTTGTAATTTTTTTCGAACTCAACTTTCAAGGCTTCATTCGTTGGAACAGTTCTAAAAAGAAAATGCAACATTTTCTCAAAAGCAAAAGAGGGAATATCGAACACCCTGTACGTTTAATAATCGCTTACATAACTTCAAAAATTGTGGACTCTCGTAAGAAACCTGAGATAAAACTTTGAAAGAAATTATGGTAAAAACTATAGAAACTTGGTGGAAAAGTATATAAAAACTCTAAAACTTTCACATCCTGTATCATGAAAGTTTTCCTGACTGTATTTTCAATTTTATAAAAACCAATGTTTCTGGGTTTCAATCATTAATCAATCAATTAATAATCATTTATTAAGAATATCACAATTTATGCAGTTTTCTTAAAAACGTTTCTTTTGGGACCCAAAACTTGCGTAGCAACAATTGTCTACACGAACAGACTGATAATGGTGGAAAACACCGAAACGTTTTTAAGAAAATTGACTAAATTGTGAGATTCTAAATAAATGACTGAAACCCAGGAACATTATTTATATTAAAATACGTTTATATAGCAAATTATACTTTAAATAAGCGCTCCGAATAAAATTTCCCAGTCCTAATGGTACAAAGGGACGCACACTGTATAAACAAACTATTTATTTGGTTTCACAGAAATATGAAAACTACCGGTATGTCTTCAAAACCTGAGAAATAGTTGATTGTACACATAAGTCTCAGGAACTTAAATATAACGGTTTCAATAAAAGCACGTTTTTTTAATTGGGCCTTGATGGCCGAAAACCAGCCAAATTTGCAAATTTGCTTGCAATTTTCTGCAAAACTTAACGCGCCCAAGTCATTGAATTAACTTTAAATATGCAAAAGACGAAAACGCCTTCAAATTGAAGGTGGAACCAAAATGTTTGCTAACAATCGGTTACTCACAAAGCATAAATTATTCTTAAAGACAAAGTCTTTTGTGAAGGCATTATTATTCATGATTATTTTTATTTTCCGAAAAGAAATCAACATTTTAACTCATTTCAACACAGAGTTTTTTAAGCTGAACATCGACTTTATGTTTGCAGCACCCTGTGGGCATAAGTTCTGATTACAGAAAGCTCGAAATTAAATTAATAGCAAGATTCTTTCATTCATTTTTCCATTTCACGATTATCTTTTTATGTTATATTTAATATTTTTCACGCAATTGCGACTACGATTAATAAATGATAGTAAGCGAGTTACTCTACAAAGTGTTAACTCAAGAAAAATGCGAAATTGTGATAAAAACACTTTTCGAAATAATTACTTTAGTTGCAGTTCAGTTTCGCACTCTGAGAAAAAGAACATGTTATAAACGAAATTATTGAATCGGAACTCAGTGGTTTTTCACAATAACATTCGTAAATAAGGGTCTCAAATAAGTCCATAAATTTTGGACTTTTAGACAGTCAGTTTGTCTGCATATATTTTTGCACCAGAACTTTTCCATTTTATCTTCGTCTGCTTTGCAAAAATCGACTTAAATTGTTACTGCACCCCGTAGCAGAACAGAATGATTCGCATAAGGTAATCCAGTATTGACTGACGTGTGCAAGAGCGAGAGCAATATAAATCAATTGCCATGGAAACCCACCAGCCGCATGCTCTATATACCAGGACCAATCGCAAAATTAATCACCCACGATGGCATTTTGGCCAGAAAAACCAACGTTCAGAATTTGAAAAATCATCATCATTGACAATCGAATTAGAAATATCCAACTGGACGGTAATTTGACATGAAACGCGTCAACTTCACGCTGCTGATTTGCCTACTGAATATCCTGCAACTTTGCTGCGATGCTCTGATCCAAGACATCACATGGTGCTCATTGCCGAAATGCAAAATCAAAGAGAATCACACAATCTGCAAATGGGGCATAATATGCCCGCCTGATCAAACATGCGAAACCAACGTGAATTTCAACAAGCAGATGAAAGACTACATCATGGAGTTGCACAATAAAAAAAGGAATATTATCGCTCTAGGTAAAGCGTAGGCAGTAGAATGCATTGAAGTAGTGGTTTGGCTTTAGGTGAGGATGAACAAGTGCCGGAAAAAGTGCGCAAAGCTGCCGACATGAACGTGCTACAATGGCACGTCCATCTGGAATATGTAGCCCGATGCCATTCCAGACAGTGCGACTTCAATCACGATGAGTGCCGAGTGGTACCCGACTTTGATAGGGTTGGCCAAAACATTTACACCAAGAGCTTTACGAATAAGGATCCAGACCATGTGGATACTAAAAGCATCATCGACCAAGGAGTTGAAGGTTTGCGCTCCCGCTTCCAAAAAATGTGTGGTCACACACAGCTTTTCGCAATTACAGGATGGTACAATGAGATCAAACACGCCACTGAGGACATTTACAACCAATGGGATAAAACCTCTGAGAGCAGCGGTCATTACACGCAGTTGATCTGGGCTAAAACCACTCACATAGGGTAGGCACGCTTAAAACCCAACTTCTGGAAACTGTTAGATTGCTCTTAGATGCGGACTATCTCAGACCAGAAACCACAAAAAGCTCACCTTCTACCTTGTCTGCAACTACGGGTTGCAAGGCAACATCAAACAGAAGCCCATTTATTCAGTGGGAGAACCCTGTTCCAAGTGCCCAGAAGACAAAGAGTGCAATCCGCAATTCAAAGGACTTTGCGGCACCATCGAGGCGTATGCCTTTAAATGCCCCTGCGAGGAGAACCAGGAAGGCGAAAATGGTGATTAGATACGAATTGCAGGTTTTGCTAAGCTTATACTGTTTGAATATACATTCATAAGGTTGTGATTTGCATATTTATATAGAAGTAAAATAATGTAATGTATTTGGCTGTACACAGTCCGCTAAGCTCATAAAACCATGCATCCGGTGGTCACTCAAATTAGACCTACCGGATGGCCCACATAAGTATTTTTGTCTTCTTAGTTCAGAACCTACACCAAACGCCAAAAGATCTTTTGTTGCTGTGATTATTGCGTGAATCAAATCGCTATTAAATCATATCAGCATTAATAATTTGGAAATTCAATCGTACATGTTTTACACCAATCAATATACTCATTAGTGATTAGCGCTATTAAGGGGGTGAAATCTCAGGTCAGTTGATGAAAAATGTTCACATAAAATTAGGCCTGAAAATGAAACGTTTCCAACAAGAATTAGATTATGTATTTAATGTCCAACATTTTTGAAGTTCAGTACCGTTCTTGGTAATAAAAACAGGCGTAGTGGCGGGGACACAAGAACCACCTGACCAAATTTTTTGACCAAACAATGTACAACGTTTTTGTCAAACGTGTCAAAACATTTTTAAATATTCTGGGAATATTTGCTAACAATTTGAAAAAATAACCATTTTAAGTCAGCCGACATTCTCAATTTGGAATTATTGGATTGGAGAAGTTTGGAAAAATACATTATTTTCCACAATCAATGAAATTTGTCCCTTTGCTTGTGGAAAAGACCGTGCGTTTTTTGCCAAACTCCCATGACCTAAACAGCTCCAGTTGCCCGAAAAATTGCTGGTGCTTTGAATGTAAGTAGCTAAAGGAACAGCCTGGGCATATTTTAAAGAACATTTTGCTGCAATGGACGCGTCCAAGCCCTTGTTCCTGATAATTTTCGTTAACATTTTCCATTGTCAATGGATTTTGCCCAAAATGGTTCAACTGCTGGTGCTCATTTTTTTACCGATGTAACAGAAAATTGCAAATGTTTCATCAATATGCAAAGTCACCCTGTACATTAATAAGTAAGCACATGATCAAAATGGTATTGGGCTAAAAAGAGGATGAGCCCTAAGTTTAGCTAAGAAAAATGTCTTGCTCCTCGGCTGTTGACGGTCAAAGTTCTTTAAAAAAAATAGTTTTAGTCCATCGGGTTTGGGCCATAATAAATTATGGAGATTTTTGATGCCAAATTCACCAGAACTTTTCACTTGGTAGCTGGCATCAGTTTAATTTTTTTTAGTGGCTGCATTCATCCTTTCTCGACATTTTTGTGCGCTTAGCAAACATTTGTAGGATTCATAGTTTATGCGCAAAAACACTTTGAAGGTTCCCTGCCCTTAACCAATTTTACGCATATCGCACTATTACAAATTTGAATTAAGTGTCCATAAAAATATGTGACGGGTACAATTTCATTATATTTTATTAAACAATGTTTATTAAGTTATTAAGTTAATTATTATTAGGCATGATTCTCCAGTGAAACAGGATTATTGAACAGAACCGAAAAGATGTTTGATAAACCAGCCATTTGCCTGAGTTTCTCAAATAGCAAGGAATCAGAAAAATGTTCATTGCACAAAAACTATGAATGCTACAATATTTTACCAAGAGCACGAAAATATCGGGAAAGGGTTAATGTTTAATCGAAAAAAAATTAACTGATTCCACCTAGCGAGAAAAGTTCTGCAGGTTCTTGTACCACGGTACTCTTGCGCAAAAAACATTCTTTTAAAGAATATCTATCATCAATCGCAGAGGAGTCAATATTTTTTAAAATAAAAGTTTCCGCCAAAGACTTTCGCAGTAAGTACCATTTTGATCATGGTGCTTATGGGACGCCCAATCTATTTTTTAATGTTGGATTTTTCCGCTGTAGTTGCTGCATTATATGTATTATTAATCTGAACGTTTTTTAAAATAAACTCGACAATTTCCATTATTTTTCGCTGAAGTATTTAAGTTTGTGTTTCAATAATTTCTGACCGGAATAACACAGAATATCACATAACTTGAATGTAACTTTTCAAGTTGTCCTGTGTATCTTTCAGGCCCTTGTTCTCTCGCTCACTAATTATCAGGATTCAAACGCTTTTTTAAACTCAATTGTTAAACATAAATTGTCATTGCTTTAAGCACATTTTACCTATCAATTGTTTGATAATGCGGTCCAATTGAAGTACCGCAAAAAAGGTTTAAGCAAGATTTGCAATTTTTTAACTGGATTGTTTAGCTACATCAAAGTCAATCAACTGTGAAGCATTTTTTTCGATCTTCAATTATTAGTGTATTTCAGAATAATTGTGTTTGAACAAAAATGTTCTGGAATAGGTTTAGATACTAAATGCTAGAAATAGTTAGTCCTAATTTATATCTAAAAGTTTAGCTTGGTGAAATTCTACACGGTTACAAGACGAGCCCCAAAGTGTTGATTTACTATATTTGCACGGTGGCTTTTTAGATTTACAACTGGCTTAAGACAATTGCGAATTTGCCACAACTATAAACTATAATTAAAAATGATGTCGCTGTTGACGCAGAACAATGAATCAATACAATGCAGATAACAGGGTTTTATCTTGTTTGCAATCAGTTTGGATAATTTTACAATGGAGCCAAAATCCTGCCAGTGCTGGCTAATAATCTATAACAAGCATAAATATGGAATTTTCGTTTTCTGTTTGCTTGAATTAAAGCGATGGACGACGTCAGTTGGAAATTATGTTGCTGCATTCAATTGCGGGATAATTATTATAAACATTTAAAGTATTATGCAATGTTTGCACGCCTGTTTCCAATACGTCTAATTAAAATAGTGGTAAAAATGCACTGTCTGTGGCCAGTCCTCAACAGCTTGGCGGCTACTAATTATGCGAAAAAACTAATAACGGTGCAGAATCGGTCAGTCGTTTCATCAATTCCTGACTAGACAACTATTTCCATTAAGCCATTTGCACATCGGTGTATTTCGGCAAAAAACACTCACTCGACAATGACAAAAACTATTAAGCTGTTAAGAGATCCAATGGACTACGTCCATACTGTGTCCACATTAAGACGGTTGCAACATTTACATCATTTACCGATTGTTCTTGTGCGGTTCAAAACAATTCCGACTACCTGGGCAATTTGCCAGAAACAACGAAAAACAATGGTACCCACTAAGGTTGCGACACCCTCGTTCCGAGCTTGTGCGTCTAGGAAGCGGTGGACGAACAGCCGAGCTTCTACCGGTACCTAACGCGATCAACTGAACCTACTAGGAACCTACTGACGCGTCAGCTGATCAGGCTGGTGGGAGCGCTGGCCTGTACCACTGCAAAAGCAAAGGTAATTTTGTTATTGTTGTTATTAGTGGAGTTCCCAGGTAGGTAGGTGCGATAATAAGCAACTATTTTGACATAGTGATGAATAATACTCGAGGAAATGTGGATTTCCGAAACTGATAATCTGGTAATCGAGTTTCAAGTGAAAACATTTGCAATATCTATAAAATGATGAACAATGTATGAAACAATCTGCTGGCTGGTTCTGAATTTGACCAGTGAATTTCCGAAAAAAGCTTAACCTACCACCGAAAAAATCCCGGCATTCAAATAAAACAATTGCGAAAAATCGACGAAAATATTGAGCAAATCGACAGTTGCCAAACTAATAGAGCCAATAATTCTCAATCAAATGATGTGGCCAACAAGCTGATATCTAGTCCTCATTTGGACTAGAGTACATTTTTGAAAAGAATCTAAACCTGCTGATTGTAACCGAAAGCCAATTCCGAAGTCCCACTTTATATAATTGCCAAAAATCGATGAAAATATTCAGAAAATCGTCAGTTTCAGAAATAACAGAGTCGAAAATTCTCTATTTATTAATTGTACATACTTTCCTGACTGTGTTTCAATTCCAAATCAAAATTAATTCCTGGGTTTCAGTCATTTATTGTCTCTATTTATCAATTAAAATACGTTTCGGTGTATTTTTCCACCATCATCAGTTTTTATGTGTAGCGTTGTTGCTACTTTAAGCCTTGGCATACATTTGGAGTATTCCAGTATTTTAATTGATAAATAGAGACAATAAATGACTGAAACCCAGAAATTAATTTAAATTTTCTATTTATTAATCCACAAAAGAGTTTAATATCTAATTCTCCTTTCGACTTGCGAATATTCGAAAAAGCTTGGCGATTGTTACCCAAAGCAAATTACACCATCCGACTTTAAACAATTGCCAAAAATTGGTGAAAATATTGAGCAAAACGACAGTTGTAGAACTTACAGAGTCAAGAATTCTCTATCAATTGAGCTGGCAAACAGCCCGATATACCCTGTATCCAAGATAAGAAGGGATAAGAAGGGATAAGAAGAAGATATGGGTAATCGGAAACTATAAATGATCCGAAGTTGCTTAAATAGGAAAAATTTGGGCAATTACAAGACTAATAAGAAGGCGATTTCAGACCTTTGATACGAATTTTCGTTTCTGACTTAACTGGATAATAAAATAAGTCTCATCATTCCTGGAGGCACTCAAAAGCTGCAATAACCAATCTACGGAGCTCTTCTTCAGTTGCAAGACTTAACTTATAGGAAAACCTAATTCTTGACATACCACCAGAAAAAAAAATCAAGTGGAGTTATATCGGGTGACCGTGCTGGCCTCAGTAAGTGCTTAAATGTCTATTCTTGTGACCAAAATTCCAGCCCAAATATTAAATACGAATCTACCTTGGTGCCTTGACTCTTTGTATAAATGAGGATTTTGTTTGCTCCCAAAATGTACATTTCTTCTGTTGAACACACCATTATTGGAACCAACACTTTCCCACTTTTCAAACCATATTATTTGGTGAGGAAAATGTTGGTCCGCATGACAATTTCTAATATACTATTCGACGCTTCTCTGGGTCACCTGGTGCAAGTCCTTGGCAAATTCCGTATATAAGAGGATAAAACCTTTGCTTTTTACGAATGAAATGTGCTGTTGATTTTGGAATATCCATTTTTTTTCCCATTTTTCGAGCTGAAACTCCAGCTTCTCAGCAATTTGCCAATAATACTTTGTTTCATTTCTCCCCACCGTTAAATGCACCGTATTCTTTGAGATACTAACTTGCTAAATGTTCGTGTTGTGCGTACGTTAATGCTCTATCCGGCAGTGCTAAAGAGAGCTTTGGTCCTCAAACGGTTCACTAAATACGCACCAAAGAATAAGAGCTGTGCTGAAAATTGGTACTTTGCCCCTTTCCGAAAAAACTGAAAACATATTTCAGTCATTGCTTTATACAAAAAATGCGTACTTTAATGCCTCTATTCGGAAGTGCAATTAGAGTTTTGAGCTTCGAGTGATTCGAGCGGTTTTGAAAATTTGCGCTATTTTCCGAAAAAACTTAAAACACATTTAAGTGAATGTTTTATACGAACACTTGCGTACTTCAGTGCTCTAGAGAGCCGTACAAATGAGAGCTCGGGGTGTCGAACGGTTCTCAAAATATGCGCCAAAGATTTCGAGCGGTTTTCTGAATTTGAACTAATTATGCATTTTGCATTTTGCTAAAAAACTAAAAACAGTTTAGTCAATATTTTCTACAAAAAAAGCGTAGTTGTAATGTTCTATCCGGCAGTGCTAATGAGAGCTTTGGGTCTCAGACGGTTCTCTAAATATGTGCGAAGCAATAAGAGATGTTTTGAAAACTTGCACTAATTATACAATCTGCTATTTTATTTGTCTATTTTGTGTTCCTTTTGTCTGGTTCCCTCCTTTCTAGATACTTATTCAAGTACAGTAGTTCCACAACACAGGAGTTTTTCTGACTCAAAATAAAAAGTCATAACGTATTTATAATTAGCACAAACAAAATATTTAAAAATTAGTCTGCTACATTTTTATCTCTAAATGTAAAATGTTCACAATTTTCTCAATAACATTTTCAAAAATGACCAAACCTCACGTAAACCTTAACATGCTAAACATTGTTGAGTTCACAGTAAAAGGCGGTTTTAGAATTTGCTGTTAAACAGACAGAGCCATATTTGAAAGTGGAGTCGAAACGTCTGAGCAGAAATCTCGCAGAAAAAATGTATTCTCTCGCTGACTTAAAGTTGCTGCGAAAAGATGCAATCGACTTTTCACCAGATTTGTTATTAACGCCAAGATATAATATAATCGAAATTCGAAAACTTCGGGTTTTTTTCAAATAAATCAGAAACTAAAATTGTAATCAAAAGTTTTAAAGCGGCATGTTGTTAGCCTTCTAATTGCCCAACTTTTTTCTGTTTAACCAACTTCGGATAAATTACGATGTTCCATATCCTCATACTGGCCCTTCTTATTTTGGACACAGTGTATACCACTCATTTAGACGAGTGAATTTTTAAAAAGTGTAAAAGTGCTGATTGTTACTGGAAGCAAATTACACCATCCAACAATTGCGAAAAAATCTACTAAAATGTCCAGAAACTAGTAGTCAAGATTTATCTATTACTTAAATAATATAAAAAAAGTAGTTAATTTTTGACGAGTTTACCTTGCCAATTGCTACCGAAAACTAATTCAGCCACACGTTTTAAAAAAATCAATTAATTAATTAAAAATTACCAAAAGCCAAATCCAACTTCCAACTTAAACAATTGCCAAAAGTCGATGCAAAAATTGCCAAAATTTACATTTGCAGAAATGATGAAGTCCCGAATTATTAGCTTAAAAAGGCACAAACCGGTGGTAAATTTTTTAAAAGAATTAAAGCAAATTCGTCAAAATATACGCAAAATATTGAGCAAAACGCAGGGCAATTACAGGGCGAATAGAGAGAAATTAAAAAAAAAACTCAATTTTATTTCTTTGTCCGATTCAATTTTCAACTGGGTTCGATTCCTCGGAATGTCATCACATTGCCAAATAAAAAAAAAAACCTTTGTTCACAGACCATAGTGGCACTAATTTCATTATTAGAGAGGCATGCTATCATCGCTTTTACTTTGCACTTAATTTGTTAATATTAGTTGAAATCATCGTAACGTAGGTACACTGCTGGCACCCGCTTATTAAAGTTTTCACTTGCAGAGAAAGTGCGACGCTCGCAAGGTGCTCACTTCTGTGATGTAAGTACGGTGCGATTATGGGAGGATTATTTAACAGTTACTTCAACAACCCTCAGCTTCTGCTGCTTAAAATACAAAAGCGCTTTCGATAATCATCTCCGTTGTCTTTTTTATCGGCGTCGGTGAGAAACCGCAGAATGCGACAAGAGAATTAATTCAGTCTTGGGATTGGCTCAGTTTTTTTTTCTTACATAACAGATCGCTTTTGAGCGTATATACTCGGCATAACAAGAGCGTCTGTTGATAAAGTACACAAGAATAGAAACAATTCAACAATCTCACAATGGTGAAGGTTTCTTGTGGCGCATTCGCTATCCAACCGAAATTATTACATCTAAACGTAAATTTTAACCCAGGGGTTTGACTTTTTTTTTAAGTAGATATACAGGGTATCCACCAGGAACCGCTTCGATCGAGAGATGCCGAACTACAACAAGAAAAATTTTGAAAATTGGCCATCAAAAAATCACTGCGGGCAAGCGATCTAAAACCTTTCCAAAATTCGCACTTAATTTAACTTGCAGTTATTCCGAAAGTAGGCAAAGTAAGCAAGTTGACAATGTTTCAATCTACCGTAATTGAGACAATTTTTAATTTAAAGTCAAAAATTAAATTTGTAGGCATTAAAACAATATGAAAATTTTAGTTATTTATTTTGAGACCGATTTCTCGTTGAAAACCACTTACTTTACTATACTTTTTATTACTGTTTGATTTTTATTCCAACTGCCAAGATTTTTTTAACAAAAACCCCGAAAAGTAAGAATTTTATCCGAATCAACATGAAGCAAAAGGGAAATTTTGTGTATCGTTGCCTAAACCAAAAAATGTTTAGTTTCCGATATATTGTCTGTCAATTTAATATTTTTTTATATTGTGCTCCAGCTCAAGTCCAGCGTTGGATATTCCGAAAATGGTCGTGTTGGAAAAAAAATTACTGTCACGTCAGTTACCGTTTGAAAATGTCTGTTATATTTAAGTATTTCTGTTATATTCATTATTAATCTCAAAAATAATGTGCTGTTAAGCAAATTATAAAATAAACAATGAAATTAAATGTGCGGTATTTTTGTGTATCGCTTTTTTCCAAATATAAAAATCCGGTTAAGTAAGTTGTTTTTGAAAAAGGCCGCAAATTAAACAATAAATACGTTCTCAAAGAAAACATTATTAATGCGCCGTTAATGATGCGAGCAAAGTGAAACATTTCAAAGACTTGGCTCCAAAGTAGCGCTGCCCTTTAGGCAGTTTTTCTACATCGAACTATAAAAATTCGTTTGTTCTCGCAAAGTTTCATAAAATTTTAGAATGAGACTCAGAGGGAAAATTTCTAGCTCAGAATTTCATAAAAATCCAATAAAGGCTAATCCGTAAGCGCGTATCAAAATCAAGCTAAATATTCCGGGGCTCTGATTAACGCGCGTAAAGAGAAACATGCACAAATCATGACCTGAACTGAACGTTGATCTGCCATTAGGCCATTCTTTAACTACTTATCAAGCTATAAAAGTTCAAATTTTTATGAAAATGCAGCAAGGGAGACTTTACCCAACATATCAAGCTTCAAAAGAAAACATTTTCAGGAAAATCGATCAAAGGACTAATCGAAAAAATCTTGTCAAAACCAATACGGATTCATTGGCGTGAATGGAAATTTGCCATTTAGCCTTTACACAAAATATCAATCTCAATTGGCTGAAAATTTCATATAAATCGAATAAAGCGACTATAATTCGATAGCAAACATTTAATTTAGTAGCTGAGAATTCTGTTTTGTTTACGTTATCATAAAAACGGATTTTAACCGGAAACCTCCCTTCAAAAATATTACTGTGCGAACAGACACTTTGTACAAAATTGTCAACAATAAAAAAAGTGAAATTGAACTGCAAAGCAAAGCAATTACTCATTCAAAGGGCGATCGAGCAAATGATTATATGATCATGTTGCTTCGGTAGTTCGGTGCCTTTGGCATACGGCAAAAATTTCGATATCACATGAGTTTGTTCTAAAAACTGTTTGATTAGTCAGTTTCTTACAGGCAATAGACGAAACATGTTCTAGCTTTTTGTGTCGAGCGAATCGCGTTTTTAGATGGGAAATATAGAATCATTGCGGCCCTAATGGCAAATGCGGTAGTTTATCAATCCTTCTAAGTGCAGAGTTAAACTTCATTGTGTTCTGAAGTGTAGTGTGATCTTTTTGTCGATTAATGGACAAAACATGGAGGATGGAGCAAAGCTGGTAAGGATCTTTTTCTGATCTATAAATTCTCTAGCTTGGACTGAGTTTAATTTTAACAAAGCAATTGAAGTTTTATGCATTCTTTACATTTCTTATTCTTAATGGTTTTGGACAGAATTCCTGATGTACTAAACACATTTTCTTCTTTCTTTGCAGGTGGCACGTTGCAGCTTTTGGTAAGTTTGGCATTACTTTACCCCTGGTTGTCATGTAGATGTAGATACTTCAGTCCCATATTGTTGACTTGTATTTTATGATATTGTTGCATACCATATTTAATAGACGAAGAACGACGAGGGAGTTTCTGGATTCTGTACTGGGTTTAATTTTTTTTTGTAACATCATTTAAAGCCAGATTTTATTCATTAACTGCGAATTTTCTGTTAAAATGTTTTTGTATAAACTCTTTCAGGCTCAAAACCAGTATAGTACGACACTTTATTGTCGTGTAAAATAGTTTGCATTAATTATTTGTGTTTTTCTGTTAACAATTACACTCTAAATTAAACGACTCTTGTATTCTCAATAGGGATTGCACAGATTTATAAAATTTTACTTGTTTCGCTCAGTTTCCTGTTTTATATAGGTGTATTCGGTTGCAAAAACACCTTTAATTATCTTCCAAGCAAAGATATCAGGTGTTTTTCAGTTGTAGGTTTAACTTTTTGCTTTTTTGAAAATTAATAATACACCAGAATCCAGACTAAAGTGCCTAAAGGTAGGTGAATCTTATTTATTATTTGTTGCGGCTGTTCTTCTAAATTTAAGCCACTAAATGGCCTAGTTTTTTTGAGGAAAAATCAGAGTTTCAGTGAATTTTAGCGCTCTGTATCCGGCCGGCATTTTATTTCGTTGAAGTAGATGCAACCAGGGTTGTAACGTCTCTTTTATAGCATTTTTGTGGATTTTATGCTGCCGATTTCCATTTTGGTTTTTTCAGGATTTTATATGGCGAGTTTTTGAAAAAGGTTGCGGAATTATTTTGGTACGCTTTGCTAATTGTTGATTTTTTTGCAGTTTTGAACATCGATATTTTATTTTGCTATGATACAATTTGTTTCAGGTAAAACAGGTTTCATTTTAAAATGCGTCTATTTACTAATCACACAGTTTTTTCGTATAGCTTTGAACCGTTTATATTTCAGGATATTTATTGTTTCTTTCACTAATGTTCACTTTCCGGGGTACGTCATTATAATACTGATTTTTCAACAAGGTGTTTGCTTCCACCTTAATACATATTCATATCGACTTAAATTAATTACTTATTTCGTTACCATACCATTTTTCCAGGTACCGCAAGTCACTTTTTCTTAAATGATTTTATTTAATAATTTCAGCTTTTCTTACAGCTTTGCAATTTTCGTGTCGTGTGACTCGCGTTCTTAAATCCGAATTTCTGAAAGCAAGTGCGGTAATTAATATCACCTGCTAATTGCAGGATTAAAGTTTTCTATCCGGAGTCAATTTTCGTTGAGTGTTCAAGTGCGGTGTGAACTTTTTGATGATTAATAGGCAGACAATGGAGGATGGGGCGCCAGCTGGCAGAAAGCTGGTAAGAAATATTTTTAATCTAGATATAAATCGTTCAATTTTATTGATTATTTATATTTATCTAACTCGCTATAAGCTATAAGGAGAAAATAACTTTCGATACAAATTTAAACAATTGTCAAAAATCAAGGAAAATATCCAGTAAATCGACACTTGCAGTTCAAATAAACTGAATATTTCTCTATCAAAAGGCCTTTAAAACAGCCGTATATCTAGTCCTCATTTTGATTAGTAAACTTTCAAAAAAAGCCCAACTTGCCGATTGTTTTCAAACGCAATTTCCGGCATTCAATTTTGAACAGTTCCCAAAAATCAATTAAAATATTCAGTCATAGTCAAGAATTCTCTACAAAATGACCCACAGAACAACCTGATACCCCATTTGTTTCTGGCCAAGTTCGAAGCTACCATAAAGATGGACATGTGAATAAATTGCTCAATTTTCCCAGACATTTTGGAAGTTTCCACAGGAAAAATGTTTAAGTATGGACAGAAAAGTACCTACCTAAACGAAATACCGCAGATTAAATCAACAATAAAAACGCATTCGCCAACGTAAGCGGAAAATAAGCATTCACCACTACTTTAGGATTTCGTCAGCAAACTAGAACAAATTTGTGGACTATCACAAGACTTATTGCATGTACATCCTGAGGAAAGTTTCCGTAAACGGCGCATACCCCAGTAGTAACTCATATTTACGCACTTCCTATCGATTTCCGACCATTTATACCAAGTTTCCTAATGTCCGCCGACCCAGAAACGAATATCAGCAAAGTAACCTAAAATACTAGTTTCTTATCATTGCGTTACTCATAAACCATCAAAAAGTAAATAAGCGATATGGTTTTAGTGTGCGTTTAGCTGCTAGATCAGGACTGAAAAAAACAGGTCAAATATCCTTATCATTCGCACACTGTGAATTGTAAATATTTCAGGTTTTGTCACATTATATATTAATAGGTGTGGCTTAGCAAATAATGCATTTACGCGTTCATATGGGTTTCTGTCGAACCGCAAAAGCGCAATCTTCCAAGCCAACCCTATCAGGTTACTTAGTCGGCCGCTTGGATAACGGAAACAAGATATATTTGCCATTAACAACATGCCAACATGCTGTGGGACAGCACTGGCTATTCTCCGAACCTGATTCATCAAATGTGATCCATCAAATCATTGATGTGACTAGTTCTAATCCAATGAGAGTTTAATCCGCATTGTAAGAGCCTGCGCTGGTACTAAACAAGTCGGAAATAGTCGCGCTCACCACACAGTCTACACAGAGATAAACTCTACATTTCACGATTTTTTTTTCAACAAATTCCGTACATATATTTGGTAGAAATAGGTATATGCAAATGAAGCCTTAGGAATTGGAGAAGAAAGTGGATTATGAATGAAACAGCAGGTCGCATTTACATAACCCACTCGCAACAGCACATTTATTGCCAAAAAGTGGTTGCCTGAACTACTCTGCATGCAAATTTTGCGAAGGCAAGGTCTTCTGAACCGGTAGTGATGGTTTCTGCATTGGCATAAAACAATGAAAACGTGTTTTGATATTGACTCACTGTGTCTAGCTAAAAAAAATCGGGATTACATTCCGGTCCGAATTTTTTACTTCTGCAAAAGAGCCAAAGCAAACACAGGTTTGCGGATAATCGCCTTTTGATCTGACAAAATTTCCTGCAAAATCAGACGTTACTTATGATGGCCTTCGTGACTAAAGGAGCAAAACTCAATGGTACAACGACCGACAAGGAATCCCATTTACCCAGCAATTAGCTGAAAACAATCATAAACGTTTCGTTGAATAAATCGAGTCTCGTGACTCAGAAAATGACAAAGGACTATAATACACCTCATGGTACTATAGGCACCTGGTGCCACGACTAGAGAAACAATGGAGCTGCATGAATTAGGGCCACTTGACTCACACAGCTTTGTGAAATATGCAGAGACCCAAATCGATACACTTAAAAAAAACACTTAACAGAAATCGGTGTACCATACCACTAATTGCATGTTTATTTAAATTGATCAATGTCTAATTGATCCATCGATTCGACCTCTCATCCAGGGATTCAGTCAACTTCATCGAATTAATCCACATCACCTAAGCATGGTAGTTTATTGAGACTAATGATGGTACAGGGTGTCCTAAATCGGAGAATCGCTGTTAAAATCTCGCAAAACATTCGCATTCTCTGTTTGTTGAAATGGTATAAATTCCTGCATATCAAGGAATCAACTGAATCTTGTATTCACAAAATGAAGAGATCGATTTTACAAGAAAACGCGTCGACTTTCTTTGGACTCAATTCTGTTGCTGGGAAAATCCAGATTACTTTTTTTAGTTGTTTGAACAAAGTAGTAAAACGTTACTCAGAAAAAATATTACTAACCCCTTTTTAGATGTGAAAATTCCAGTCTCGGGCCTCGTAAAGCTTTAACAAATGAACAAAACCGATTAGTTATAACTCGTTAACTGAGAGAGCGGCAACAACTCAATAGCGCAGCTCAACACAGTGTTACCCAGGCCTAGTTTGAAAGGAAATTTTATTGCTGTTAAAAAGCTGAATTCGGGGTTGGATTGTAACTCATGCAATCTTTTACTGGAAGCGCTTTTTGTTATTGTGTCAGATTTTTCAGTTTTCTTCAACAAACTAAATGTAACCCCAGACTTATTTTCAAGTTGATTCAATAGGCGTTTTGAGCTCTATAACTTGATCCTAAAAAAAAAACGCGGTGCCCTCAAATTTCGCAGATAAAGAGTTTTAGAGCGTTACTACCTTTTTAGCGGTTAATTTCTGCCCAAGAATGGAACAAGTATTTTAAAAACTCTATCAATTCTTTTGGAACAGTTAATTGCTATTTACCCACACCTGGTATATTGCCAGACAGTCACCACAGGCTTAATCAACGTGAACAGTTTGTCCTAATCACGTTTCGGGCTGCGTGATTGAATTACAGCTAACGAGATTCCATTTAATTTAATCGAATTGTAAAGTATTTAGAACTGTTATGTCGAGTATCCATAATCACGGCTTGATTGACGACAAAATTGGCTTCATCCTGGGTGTGGATCGATTGAAACTGCTATTATATAAACTCGGAATCTATGTGGGCCCCAATAATCCTCCTAGAGAAACTGAATAGGAAAACAACAAAAACTCCCACTCCGACACCAAATGAAAAAATCAAACACCCCCAATATTCACGCAGTTATCAGTCAAAAATAATGAATCAGTCAATGTTGGAAAGTTTCCGTTTGCGTGCAACAAAGCACAGATGAAACCGATCCAGAGGCGTATTTTTATCTACTCAAATTTCAAGCCACTGAAAGAACCTGAGAGGTTCAATTGATAGGTACCAGATGGCCCGAAAAAAAGGAAAATTTCCCAGATGATTTGCATCATTGACTAGCCTAAATCCATGGCTCAACACAGTCAAGGCAGTTATCAATTAGGATCTCTTACAACAATGGGTGCCTTAGGAAATCACTTGTTTTAGTGCTTGGTTCCTGTTGGTGCGGTCGAACAAGTTCGAATGCAATCAAGGGCTTTGGGTTCCCGATCAGGGTGGATAACCAAGATGGTTTTTTCGAATCAGCCTGCCGGAACGACTTGATGGACCCTCCATTTATGGTCTGCACCTGCTTCCTTTACCAAACTACCTGCCTTTGGAGCTTTTACAGGCCCCAATTTGAGATACATATTTCTATTCATTCTGGTTCCAGCTGGGTCCGCACAGTAATAATAATTTTTACGTTCGCTCCCATCCAAGTTATAGGGATAGATATTATAGAAACCGTTCGTCTTTTTTGGCAAAATTATCAAGAATTTCGTCCGTTGAACTTTGTCCAAGCAGTTTCCATTTTATGTGCAAAACCTGAAAGACTTATAACATACTTTCATTCATTGTTGGCGATGAATAAATCAACTACAGCTCTTTAGTAAAGCGAAAAAACCGCGTGCAGGAATTCGGTGGGCGTAAATCTACCGGCCGATTACTCAACAATCAACATTACTCACTTACCTACATTATTTATTTAAAAGCTTGAGATTGGAAGTTACTGGCTGGAGAGAATTAAATGCAATTATTTATTTACTGGTGGAGAATGTAGTGAAACTGATTTCAACTATTTATTATTCAATATGTACAATTGGAGAACTCGTTAAGATGCAGAGTGGTATCGGATGATTCCTAGAACGCCATTAATTCGACGTTTTGATGTGTAATCCAAGGAACTTGGACACAGAAAATGATCTTTTCTTGAACACAATTTAAAAAACTTCTATTTTCAATTTGTTCATATATGGAATCTAAGCAGAATCTAAGTAGCAGATTTGGATTAATTTTCTGCAATGCACATATAGTTCTTTTTGCGAAGTTGCAAATTAGATATGCTAATACAAAATTAATAAATTTTAAACCACGTAACTTAATGCTTAACACCGTTAACGGTGTTTTGTTCTTCAAAAGCTCGAGCAATTGAGATGCAAACTAAAAATTAGCGCGAAAGGTGACAACATTATTAGTGAAAACTTGTTTGATGTTTGTTCCGCTGATTTAAATTACAATGTTTCCTACCAGGGTTTAATAAATCACAATCTTCCTTCGTGTATATGAGCAAAAGTAAATTATTTTTTCGGACTTGAAAAAATAATTTCGTGTCGCACGTGATGTACGGTGCATCTCTTTGAACGATTTCTTCAGATCGAACTAAAATTAAAAAGAATATATAGAGGCAACCATCAGCAAAATAATATTTAATATACAACCAACAAACCTTAAAATTTTCATATTTATTTCCGCTGTAATTGACAAAATTAAAATCGATATGCTTCTTTATCAGACGTAGTAGAACGTAGAACTATTCACAACTTATTCTCGACGATTAAAATTTTTGTTTGAAGATTTTTTTGTTTTTTCACACGAAAACGAAGATCAACGGATTCATCGAAAATTTGATTTTTTTTTAAGAATCCATATGAATCCAGTAAGTAATTCGACAAACGAGAGAACACTACAAGTAGCCAAGGACTTTTGAATATGGACTGATTATTCCTCGAATTTTCTAAAAAGGTATGCAATAATATATTAAGCAATTTAACGCTACGAAAAACTTGAACGCCTCAGCTAAAAGTTGATAATGATGGCGTAATCGAAAAAATCTTCCACTTCGTAATTATCTTCTCAAGCTCCATTTTATATGAGCTGATCCAACATTTTGATCGTTTGGGCCAGTAAAAATTAATAGTAGGTTATAAGCCGCAAAGCGCCCAATCTAGTTGAATAAAACAGTCATTTTGGAGACAAAATAGACACATTTATCAAGTCAGTATCTAATCAGTAATTAACAGTTAAAAAAAACGATGGCAATGTCTTCGGTTTCCAGGCTTACGCAAAGCATTTGATACTCTTTTCAAGTAACGAAAGGCTATTGGCAAAGTGCATTTCTTTGGCTTCTCTTAAAATGCCGTTGATATTTTCAGGTCGTTCCGCATAAACGCGACGCTTGTGTAAAAACTCATATACAAAAACATAAATAAAATACTTCAATGGAAAACGGTTCTCATTAGCATAGATGAAAAGTACTAACATTTTAGTAAAAAGTTGAGGAAGGAATAATACAAAATTTCAATGTCTGGTGGTTCAAGAGTTATCTAAAAAAATGTGATTCCATTGGAGCTCTTTAGCTCGTACCTTAGAAGAAGAGGCTTATACGTTTTTTTTATATAAACATGTATTTTTCACATCCTTGAGATTTTTCACATCCTTGAGATTTTTCAAATTTTTCCGGACGATTGATGAGCAAATTCCAAGTGGAACTTTTAAAAAATACAAAATTGACCTTTGAAGACTTACGAGAATTAGATTATATCTTATTTAATCATTGTTTTATTTCTTTCTCCATTTTCTCGTATTAACAAAACTTCGAATTATCTAATTCTAGACTTACTTACGTATTTTTTATTTAATTTTAGCATTTTTGAAATTAATTTTCACACAGTGTCTCACAGAGTAAGACTTATTAGTTACGTTAAGACTTAGAGTTATCTATATGTATTTATATAGCTTACTTGCGTATGAGAACAAGAGTTTATTTTTATAAGCAAATGTGCACAAAATTAAGTGAGCGTTTGAACTTATTCTGAAGTCGCCATTACTTAAATTGTGTACTTATTTCGTGCGTCCTTTTTATATTGTAATTTGCCCCAATTTATATATAAAATGTAATTAAAAAGAGACAAAAACTCCATAGTCGCACTTTCTGAATAATAATACCTACACACACAATGCCTATTAAATAGCTAAATTTTATTTAGGAACATTCAAAAACATAATTTCGTCGACCTTTCTTGTGGTCTCTAACCCAAACTAAATAATTATTTGCATTTTGAAAATTAGTGTTTGTAAATGATTGCATATTAGTAATAAAAAGTTTGTTGTTAATTCAAATATTTCAAATCCAGAGCGCCAGACAATCATAAATATAAATAGCATCAAGCCGTTTGTCTGAAAAACTACGACGATTTGGGCGATCTTTGTTTAAGCTTTTTTAATTTAAAAAGCTGGGCTATTCGTTATAATAAATATAGCGCGCTATTTTATGAACCTGTACTTTATATTTCCCATCACTAACACAGAGTAACAACCGTTTTTTCCTTTCTAAATTTTATTTGGTTTTCCTAAATATATCATCGTTTCCAGTTCAACTGACTTAAATTCTGATTAATTCACTTTTCGCTTCACTTATCATTGACTCAACTGAGATTTGAGATTGAGCGGCTCAAATAATTTTAAAGTCTTGCGCGTGATTCTCATTTCTCACAGATTCTTATCGAAAAGAAACATTGTTCGTGCGTTCTTCTTTTAAGAAGTTATTACGCAAATTAGTCCTTTAAGTTCTATGTTTCAATTTCATATTTTGATACGTAGCTTTGCTGAAATACATGGAATGTGTCGACAAACTTGCAGGAAGTTGGCCTGCGCACATCTGGAGATTTGCTTATTGTTCTTTGACAAGACGTTGGATGAGTGGTCTTACTAATTCCCAAGCCCCAAAAGACGCATGGTTGCAGTTTGAGAGCCATACAAGGGTTTCCGCTCCCATTGTATTACCCTACATTACAGTCAGATGTATTATCTCGACCAACCACCTGATCAATTACTCATACTTCATGCTGGTTGTACCCGAAGTAGTACGTATTTTTTGCCTGAAAACAGTTTGCGCATTTGCTTTACATCTGGGCTCTTCGCCAGTTCCGAAACGCTTCAGTAAGAT